AATTTCAGGCTGGAATTTCTCGTCGTTTGACCAACTTCACTACGGATATTAATGACTCGGAGATATATACCCATCTTTTGAATCAAATTGCTCCTCCCAACAGTGGTGTCACTCTTGCGCCTTTATACCTGAAAGTGAGTGCACAGAGATAAGTCCATCAGTTTTAGTTTAATCTGTCTAGGGAAACATTACACGAGCCGGTGCGATGTTGGATGAAGCTGAGAAGTTGGACTGTCGGGAATTTGTAACCCCCAATGATGTCGCTAGTGGCAACTACAAGTTGAACTTGGCTTTTGTTGCGAACCTATTCAATAAACATCCCAATCTTCCCGATCCTTCTGCAGATGAGATTGGTACGCATCTTCTTTTAATATCTCTTTTTTCAAATCTTCTATTTTTTAGTGGAAGAAGTAATTGAGGAAACTCGTGAGGAAAAGACATATCGAAATTGGATGAACTCCATGGGAGTGAATCCTTACGTAAACTGGCTCTACAGCGATTTGCAGAACGGAGTAGTCATTTTCCAGGTGCGGTTTGTTTTCTACGCCTGGCTTATATCCAGTATTGACGCATAGAAACCTTATAATCAAATCTGATTTCTCTGGAGTTTTTGGAACATATGTTAGTTTCAAGCGATCTTGTATTGATTTCGTCTCAAAAAAAAACTTTTCAACAGATGATGGAAGTAGATAGTCATCAAGTTGTTTTGAGTCTAGTTTTATAGTGGAATTATGAGATGAGCTGAGGGAAAACAAGAAACAGGTTGGCAGTGCAATGTTGCTGCGGTTTCATCCAGGGCTATGATTATGTCATCATGTGTCTATTAATTTCTACGCTTTATGGATTTGGCTCCTTTTGTTCAATTAAGCAATCTTAGCTCTATACAGGTGTGAGAAAGAACCATACCATAGAAGGACGGCGTTAGCTTTTAGGAAGAACAACTAGGGCACTGTCCGTCTCGCGTTGTAGATTTCTCAATAGCCAAAGCACTCTGAGATTTTTGAATTTTTCAGCTCTATGACATCATTCGACCAGGAGTTGTGCAATGGAAACGTGTTGTGAAAGTATTCCATAAGCTCAGAGGAATGATGGACCAAATCCAGAATTGCAATTATGCTGTAGAACTTGGAAAGCAGCTACGATTTTCATTAGTTGGTATACAAGGAAAGGACATCTACGATGGAAACCAAACTCTAACCCTTGGTAATTAGTCTTGTTTTGCTTGGTTTGCCCTAAATCTCATACATGCTCCTTTTAGCTCTTGTTTGGCAATTAATGAGAGCATATACGTTAACAGTTCTCGCTCAGTGTACACAGAGTGGGGACTCACTTCCCGCCGACAAAGATATCGTGGCATGGGTTAATCACAAGGTTGGTATAGTATTCTCATTTCTCTTTCGAACTGTTCTCCAAAAGTGAGGGCGCATTATTTGAAATTGACGTTAATCGTAAGATTTGCTAATTCGTTCCTGTTCATGTAGTAAACATCTCCAAGTTCGCTCTTTTCGCTTCACCTCTTTTAAACTGCTGGGATTGTGAACACCCTTTTGCAGATTATCACA